TGCGAGAGAGAGCGACTGATGGCCGGGGTAGAAAAAAGAACGTACTGTGATCGCGCGAAGAGATACGTTTGGGTTCTTATGAAACACTCGCTTTCCGACTGCTTTCAGGCATGCTTTAGGTCTACATTTATGAATGATAGCAATTTATCGATCCGGAAGTAAATAATGTATTACTCTTTAGAGCCATAGTCCTCACAAATCCGAAGAATTAAATCCCACTGGTCCTGCGTGTTCTTCTCTGACGTACATTGCTCTGTAGAAAAGAAAAAAAATCACATGAATTACACTCATCATTATCATCATCATCGTACAGTGAAACACAGTGAGGTGAGCTCCACTGATCGCTGCCCAACTCGTAATCCATACATGGTTAGTGGTAAAATCTAACGTGGATAGGGATTGGACCCAATTTGAGGGACGGAGATGAAGGTGAACCTCTACGGTCAACACGGAGTACACAATCCAGCTCGCATACATACCGTTTCAAGCATTCCGGCCTGATAAGAAACGACAACACTGTTGTCGGTTCGCTGCCATATCCTTCAATGTCTCCAACCAACCAGCAGAGGACCGTTTTGGACCTCAACCTGGAAGGTGCGAGACACCTACTCTATCTGATGACTTTGTGCATTTCTTCAGACCTTGTCTCTACGTTATCTGTTGACCTCCATGTCGTTTCTTCCAACCTGGAGCCGCAACTGTGAATAAGGCGCAGTGCGATAGACGATAACCGGGCAAGCGCAATACGTGTCCTAACAAGCGAAACCGACTAATCTGAATTCGATGGGACAACGAATTCTTCATCTAATCATTATCAAATACGCAATGTCTTATCTCAGAGTTGCTTACACGCTCGCGCCAAACTACGTAAAAATCGGCAATCGAAGACTTCTAGACGGCGAATATCTTCCAGCGGCAGCACTACCAGGGAGTGGTGGCTTTCAGGCTGGTTACACGGGCCCGGTTTAAAATTCGCATAGGCCTAATGACGGTGTCGTGACAAGGGTCGATGTGACTGACCTTTTAAAACTAAAGTCATTGACCCTGTCACTTCCGAGGCGAGGGGTTACTTCCTGTTGTCTTGCAGTTCACACTAGGTTATTCAAAAGCTAGAGGTGTGCCCTCAAAATAAAAAAACGCCGATTGACGCTGGGGACGGCTCTCGCACCAAACTCCCAAGAAACTCTATGATCATGATCATGATCATATCTGGAGCCGGCCTATCCTTTCCAAGGAGCCAGCCGCAGTAAATTAGTAAGTATGCGCAAATTTAGGGTCTCGCAACAATAAAGCAGAACTGATTGCACACAGGCGCAGTATACACGACCGCTCAGTTTCAAAGAAACATCACATCTGCGCCAAAGGTGTTTCAGTTCTGCGTAAGCCGCTCAAGCCTTGGAAATGCGGGCGGTTACTTCATTGGGTATGCTACCGTTATTTGCCACGCAGCTACCTAGGTAGGAGAAACATTCCAATGTAGCTAATCCTTGACCATAAAGCATCACCGCAATAGGTTTACATACTTCCGCGGCATTCCTTTGCGAAGCAGCAACTGAATATAAGCCTCCTTTTAGGTCAAGGAACACTGCGATTGTTGGCCGACGATGTGCGTGACCCAGTTCGAGGACTTGACGCAGAGTGCAGATTTGGCCGATGCAACCGCGACCTAGTCAGAATCCTGCTTGTTGTTCGCGGATATTCATCTCCTTTTGGTGACAGGCGGTGAAGTATCACAGAAGTCAACACTTTTATGACCATCGGAACTAAACTAATCCCACAGTGGTTAGCGCAGTCGTTCTGTGATCCCTTCTTGAAGATCGGGGCGAACAATGATTCACCCCAGGACGAAAAAATACGCTTCTTCGACCAAATGCTGCAAAGAAAGCTAGTAATCGAGTAGACAATGAAATCATTTCCCACCTTGAAAGGAATAGGGAGAAACCCATCTGGTCCCGCGGCCTTCCAATTCTGATGGGGCTCACATGTTACCACCCAAGCAGTTTCCGCTGCAATTGCCGGAATGATTGCATTAACACTAGGCCAATTGAATTGTTGACTAAAATACTCTGCCCAGTGATCAAGTCCTTCTTCCTTATTATGGATACTCTGTCCACTTTTATCGCAAATAGTCTTACTGACCAGTCTATGATGACCCCCGGTGCTGCGTGTCAGGTGAAATCGTCTTTGACTATTCCCTGATGTTGCAGCAGTTCAGACAGTTTTGCTTTAGGGTGCAGAGACTTGGCCATTACGGGAACAGGATAAAAAGATTGTCGGTATTCGAACACCGCTGTCTACGTAGCATTGTACGAGTCTGGTAGGGAAACCGGACGAGCAATGCTAAGGCTAGGCGTAGGGTTTTAGGTAATCGCGATCGTCCACTGGAGCAGGTAGCCGACCTCCATAGATTAAGTTGGTTGGGACATGTGCCACACATGTTACCAGATAGGTTGCCAAGGCGAGCGGTGCTTGCTGAGGCAGGTAGAAGTTGGAAAAAAAAATCAAGGGCGGTCAAACTACGAACTGGCATGAGAGTATGAAACCCCTAACCAGGAGGCTGGCTCACATAGGTCCCATTAGGCTCCCTGGCTGGGGAACCCGAGATCATGGTCACCGATGGTTAGGGACATTGAGCGATATGGCTGGGTGTCGCAACCAGTGGGGCTCATGTATCTACTCATTATTCTTGTGACTTCAGTCTACGTAAATGCGTTACCTTCTGCTTGAATCTGCTCTCAACATTCTACTGTTTTATCCCAATGGGCAACCAAAAGACAGCAACCAAAACCAGCGCACGAAAGTGCATGGTTATTGGTTGTAAGAACTGAACTGAACTGATGCAGCTGCCACTTCCATTTTACTAGCTACTTTGGCCCACCAATTTTCGCGATCTTTCTTAAGGCTTTTCCTGATTTGACTTTG